TATGGATCTTGCGATAAAAAAATTTTCCAACCAATAATTAGCACAAAATCCTGATGAATATCATGGATAGAAAATTTTTGAAAAAAAAATTGTTTTTTTTAATTTTTAGTGCACGGACATGAAAAAAATTTTTCTCGACATAACCACTATATGCATTGGATAGGTAGTCAGTTAGCTTCAATTTTTTTTTTTTTGATGGCCTCGAGATAACCCTTCCTTGCTGAGTTATCAGAAAATGAAGGAAAATACGTCATTTCCTCTTCTCTCGTCAATATCTCAGGAACCAATGGCCACTCAGAAAATGGAAGGGGGGTTTCGAAAACTTCGATTCATTCTCTACAAGGTTCTGGTATGTTCTTTCACGAGAAATTTTTTGTTCATCCCTAGCATGACTTTGAAGAATTTCGGGAGAACAGGTCTTTTTGAGGATTTTTTTTAGAAAATCACGTGCTACATTGAGATTATTGGGAAAATGAATAATGTTGAGTGTGCATCTTACAGGCCATTATTCATCCGAAAGCCCTACAAAATTTCAACCTGATCCATCAAGCCGTTTCATTATTTCATGCGAGTGAATTTTTGAAGAAATTGAAGGATCGCGTTTTTCTATGCATGATATTCATCAAGATTTTGTGCTAATTGTTAAATGGAAAAATTTGATGTACGACCATTTTTACCAAAGATATAGCCACTCGAAAAATCGCAAAAATCGAGATTTTTTTTGATCCCTTAATTTTTTCCACTAGTGTAGTATTATAGCCAACACTACAGAAATCTAACTTTATCGAATGGATGTAACTAAATAAGTGTAAACCATTTAAGGGGGTGATTCCTCATCGAAAAAAGGATAGGATCTTTCATATAAAGAAACTTCATTGGAGCATCCCTTGTTAAGATACAGCCCCTTAAAGGGGGTACATAAAATTTGTTTAACAATTTTTTTCACAAGCACTAAACAAGTTACAATATTGAAATTAACCTGTCATTTCCTACTACCAAAAAGACACTTAGCCAGTAATTTATTTGGTTTACCCCATGGTTGTAAGGGGTAGAAAACGCAACCCCTAAAATTTCGTTCCAACGTAACTTTTTGTCTTATTATTTGTTTATTATTTAAAATTTTATTTCCGAGAGCCTGTTTCGTTCTAAACAAAAAATGTCTCTTGAATTTTTTGCCCAAAATAAACCAGTTCGCAGCAAAAAATTATTTTACGAACAACTACAGAGATACATCGTCATAAAAATTCAAGAGACATTTTTTGTTTAGAATGAAACAGGCTATCGGAAATAAATTTTTAAATGGTAAATAAATAATAAGACAAAAAGTTACGTTGGAACGAAATTTTAGGGGTTGCGTTTTCCACCCCTTACAATCATGGGGTAAACCAAATAAATTACTGGCTAAGTGTCTTTTTGGTAGTAGAAAATGTCAGGTTAATTTCAATATTGTAACTTTTTTAGTGCTTGTGAAAAAAATTGTTAAACAAATTTTATGTACCCTCTTTAAGGGTCTGTATCTTAACCAGGGATGCTCCAATGAAGTTTCTTTATATGAAAGATCCTATCTTTTTTTCGATGAGGAATCACCCCCTTAAATGTTTTATTTAGTTACACCCTGTATATTGAATATAAGAACTAGTGGTACCTATTCATGGTGATAATGATTATAACTATTGATATGTAGGTAGATATATTTTGATAAATTGTTATTGCTATTATATTCAAATAAATTTGATCCTCAACTTTATTATTATTTAGAATACTTTGCAGTATTCAAGCAATTAAAAAGGGTTGTAAAAAATGGTAAAATACGGTAAATGCTGGGAAACACTATAACGATTTACATTTGTTAACATCTGCATTGGTAATTTAATAGTTATAAAATTATTTGTTCATGTGATATTTTCTACATTCTAAACTTTTTTCATGAAAGCTTGCAATAATCATAGTATCTACTACTATATTCACTTTTTGTACACTAATGACGATGCAGGTAAATAATCAACAGAACAACTATGTCAACACGAAGAACTGATACTGATAATGATGTAGAAATTTTAGACAAAAAATTCGATAGCGAAACATGAAAATGCATTGTCAATACTTAAACCAGAAAGTGAAGTAAAAAGTTGTTCTACTTTTTTGTTCTGTCATGGTACCTATATAGTATGATTCTTAAAATATAATATGGTGCAAAAAGTTTCTAAGAATACATTAGGTAAAACAAAATAGGAAGTTAACATATAGAGATATTTTAATTATATTAAAGCCAGTTTGTAAGGGTTAAAGAGACATTTAGCTTTGAATGTAGATTGCACCGCGCCGCGAAGAAAACTCCGTTAATTGTGGTTTATTGGAAATAAATTTTTTTGTGTATAAGATTTTGTACTAGATAAAGTAATCTAATAGTTTTAGAGAATTTTTAGACGAAATGTTACCATTTATCTTTATGGAATAACAGGAATATCTGAAATATTTGAAACTTTAAGCGGGACAATCTGTTCTTATTTACAGCATATTTTAATTAAATGTGATAAGTATTAGCTTAAAAATATTAAAAATAGCAGATATTTATAAAGTAAAGAAAGCCTCCGTGCCTTTTTAATTAAATAAAATCAAAGTTACCTTTAAAATCAATCGCAACAATATGAAAACATTTAGAAATTGTGCAGGTTAATGATTCAACAGTAACTTAGAACTTTTCAAGTATTACCCTATATCATAACGGTATTAAATTATTATTTAAATAATGTGCTTGCTAAAAAAATTAAAAATAAATGTCCAAAATTGCAGTCGAGACATGTTAGGGCTAATTAACTTTGTCCTGAAAAGGAAATTATTTAAATTAATGCTTTAGTCATGAATCGTTGAATAATGAACACATCTTAAAAATCTGTGTTAGTAAAACAGAAATTTAACTAGGTAGGTAATTGGCTTAGCATAGCATGTACAATATTATTAATACCTTCTGACATTTTTGGTCTAATATTAATAATAATTCAAACAGAAGTTGAATATCTGTTTGCCTTGAAATAATGACAAAAACAATTTTTTAATATTTTTTTTTACATCAAGTTCTGTTTGAGTTATTATTACTTTTGAAATGAGCAAATACTTTTATGAAGAATAACATTTTTTTGAAAAAGTGAAAATTAAAATGTTTTTGTCATCTATTTCAATCCATCCGGGGACACCCTATACACTCTGTATATGTTCATCTAGCTTTTCTATTTTATGTTGATAAAAACCTAATTATCATATACCGCGAATATCTTTAATGAGCAGTTATCCAGTTATTTGGAAAAGTAAGTACCACTATTATACGATGTGTCTACTTAAGTTGGAACCATATGGAAAACTTTTTTATTATTGGTTTTGTGAAAAAATGTATTCTTGATAAAAAGTTCTGCATGGTCCAAAACTTAAAATGCAATCATCAGATTTTAATTAATTTAAGCTGTATACGAGGTTTGTCTAAAAATATGAATTTTACTCAAGAGTAAAGTACCTTTATTTTTTACAATACAGTAACTGTAATCTAGCAGTATTTAGTCAATATCTCTGTGAATCACTAGATAGTAGAGGATAGGTTGATGCAGTATATACCGATTTCTCTAAGGCTTTCGATAAAATCAGTCACAAAATAATTCTGCAAAAGCTTTCTAGTTTAGGTTTTGATATTACTTATGTACATCTTCTTAAATAATATTTAACTAAGCGCAAACAATATGTTTGTTATAATGGATTTAATTCTTATTACTTTACTTCAACTAGTGGAGTTCCTCAAGGGTTCAATTTAGGGCCACTATTGTTCTTAATATTCATTAACGATTTGTTTGACTCGCTTGAATGCAATAGGTTAATGTTTGCAGATGACTTAAAATTATATACCAGTATCTCTAGTACAGCTGATTGTTTAACATTGCAAAATCAAATTAACCTATTGCAGAAATGGCATATTTCTTTGAATTTTCCTTATTCCATTAATAATATTATTTTGGAAAGAACAGACACTAATCAAGATTTGGGTCTTCACTTTATCAAGTTACTTTTAACTACCACATTAACTCTATTGTGAATTCAGCGTACTGTGTATATGGTTTTATAATCTAGAATTGTAAGAATTTCAATAGTCTCTCGGTATAAACTTCCCTATATTTTAGCTTAGTTAGAACAAAATTAGAATATTCATCAATAATATGGCATCCTATATACATTGATTATTCAGACATTATTGAGAAAATTCAAAAGAAATTCTTAAAATTCTTAAGTTTTAAATGAAATGGATTTTATCCTCCAAGAGGTCGTAACTATTTACTACACCAATTTGATTTTGTATCGTTAGAAACACGTAGAAATCAGGCACTGTTTTGTTTTTGAATAAATTGTTAAATGGTGAAATTGACTGCGCTTTGTTGCTCTCTCAAATAAATTTTGTTGTACCTAGGATAACATCTAGACATAATATTACATTTCTAAGTAAACAAGCGCTCAAACTAATTTGTTGTCAAAAGCGCCAATTACCTTAATGTGTAGTAATGCAAACAAACTATCAGATATTTGTAATATTTTCCGTTGCAGCATAAGTGAATTAAAAAACAAATCAAGAGCTTATCTTTTGAATTCATATTATTTTTTTACCATTTTCTACTTTTTTACTTTTATTATAATTTTGTATTTTCTTAGTTTAATTTTATATTGTTAAATTTTCCTTGTAAATGGGAAACTGTTGGGCAATAAATGCTTTTATTATTGTTAATACATTTTTATTAACAAGAGTCCAGAATTATCGATAATGGTACAACATTATGTGGGCCAAGATGAGTTAATTTTTCGGTTTAAAATAAAATAGCATCTATTTAATATATTTTATCTGCGAACACATAATCTAAGCATTATTCAAATTTATTTGATTGTATTAACATACATTGTTAGAGTTAAAATTTTTTGCAATAAAAACCTCTTAAAATGTAAACTGTTATGAATAATTTTATACTTAC